TTGGGGAGTTTTTCCTGATCAGCTGTGAGGGTCATAAGGACAGAGGGATGTCGTATGCTGTAAAGCCCTGTGAGGCAAATTGTGATTTGTGATATTGGGCTTTATAAATAAAATTGATTGATTGATTGATTGATTGATGGTTGATTTATTATGAGATTATTATGGGCTGTTACTATTTATATCAATAAGTCCCTTATTGATCTGACTTTTTTTTTATTCTTATCTGTTCTTACACTTATATTTTTAACACTTGAACCATGATGCACATATTTGTACAACTACAACAACTACAACAATTATTTCTTACATTTTTATATTTGTGTTTATTTTTGTGTCATACATCTTATTTCTATTTCCCTCTAGTGTCTCTGTGCCTGTCAACAGTATCAGAGTGACTGTAACGTGTCCAGTTACCTCCTGGAGATCAGTGAAATAAAGTATTATTAATTATTGATTATTAGAATTTACAATCAGTCTGGTTTCTTTATTTTGTTATTTGCAGGTCTCCTCTCTGTGTTGTCTGGCTACAGCAGGAATGTGAAATTAAAGTGAAATGTGATTATTACACGATGTTCATTGTGTCATCAGTGACGTCATGACAGTATAATAACTGATCTTTGTCACATTGATGACTGTTGTGAATCAATACACTGAGTGTTTGTGTGCAGATGACCTGATAGCACCTGAACGGTCAGTCAGCTCATCAGCCAATCACAGAGGGACACTGGCTCCACCGGAACTGGCGGAAGGGAAAGTTGGTGAAATGCGGAAGAGACAAAAAAATAAAAGAAGAGCTCTCACTCTGTCGCTGTTTTTATTAAGGACTACAAACAGGAAGAGGGTCTGCTGCTGTCAGAGCTTCATCTTTAGTTCACACATATTAAATAAGAAAACTCATGATGATGATCAAGACTCATGTGTTTGATTCTTTTACTGTCAGTTTTCTCAACTTTATTTCCTCTGGTATACAGCTTGTTCATTTATCATTATTATTATTATTATTATTGTTATCATTATTATTATTATTATTATTGTTATCATCATTATTATTATTAGTAGTAGTAGTAGAATCGTTGAATATTCACAGTCTGGCATATGGTTTTAAAATTTGATTGTTAATAACTGTTTTCAACATGAACTATAATTCTTTTTTAATTTAAGCATCTTTGGGCTTAAACTTTGTTATTTTAGATCGATTTAAAAGAATTAAACTAAAACAAGTTTTAAATGTGACAAAACGATTTGTAGCTGCTTAAAGGTGTTTTTATTGTGTTGTTTTGCTGTAACTTTGTCTCATGCTGCTGCCTCAGCCACTTCTCACTTGAAAAAGACATCGTTGATCTCGTCAGGACTTACCTGCTGAAAATAGGTTAAATAAAGACAAAATTAAAAGTTAAAAAACTGCAGTATTTCCAGTGTAGTAAATCAGCATTCTGTGAGAAATGCCTACAAATCCTCTGTTGTCACATTTTGCATCATATCCTAACACAGTTAATCACAGTCTATATGATCAGCTGCAGAATACTTGCAGTGAAGAACTGGAATCTTAACAGCTCCTCTGGGATCTTTGAAATTATTCTGTTAATGTTTTTGATTATGAAGAAAGTTGAGAGCCGCAAATGTAGCCTACTGAAATTGTTTTTTTGGTGTTTTTTGTGCCAGCAAGTTATTTATCATGTGGGAAAGATTAATTTTAGTATTTTAGATAAGTAGATAATCCTATTGGCACACGAATAATTATATATAGATATAAATGAAATATCACCTTTTGGGACCTCAGGGCCTCCGTACAACCCAAGAAAATCCATTGATGTCCAATCTGTAGAGGAGCCTGCTCATATGACCACTGGGGGGCGCTGAAGTTCGAACATGTCAGAACCAGCACAGAGCTTTAAATGTACTCAGCACACACAGAGCTGACTGTAGGTGTTTACATTGAACATGTTCCCATTCAAGTTAAAGACACAGGATGAGTTCACTTTGATCATTTGTTGTTATTGTTGTTGTTCTTCTTATTCTTCTTCCAGTTTGTTATAACTGAATCAAAATAATTCCTATATATTATCGGATAGCGCCGATTTATGAATTGTGCAGAAGTTAAGTTCTTACTGTGCAAAGAAGAAAAAGAAGCTAAATTCAGATAGCACAACAGATTTTTTACAGACATAGGTTTACTAATTTCACACCATGAGAATCAACCACAACATTTTTAATAGCCTGTTTTTTATAAGCCTATTAAATATCAGACATTTTCTGTGAGCTCTATTTGTGCCGAAATGAAAAATCCTAAAGCCATGCTTTTATTGTGAAGGGTTACTGGGTTACTCTGTGATTCATGGATCAATGCTGTTTTATAGAATAATTTAAAACTGTTTGGTTCATTATTACATCCTCAGATTATAGTAAAAACAACACTTTCACTAAACAGTGAGAGTCCTATAATCCCCTCAGAGTGAGCTCTCCTGCCTCATAGAGGATCTGTGTGTGTGGTGTGTACAGCTGCTGTAAATCGGGCGTGAGGAGAAGAAGTGTGAATCCTGCAGCTGTCAGGAGCTCAGGACGACCATGGACAGAGCCCACAACCCTGCTCTGTAGGACCGAGCACACCGATCCAGACCCGGAGGACCGGCGCGGACAACTTAATCCACCGCCGCCGCTGCTGCTGCTGCTGCTGCACTCCGACACGGCGGAGGACTCCTCCCGTCGGTCGGTCGGTCGGTCGGTCCCTCCCTGCTGGAAGACAATGTGGCTGAACCCGGAGGAAGTCCTGCTGAAAAACGCTCTGAAGCTCTGGGTGACGGAGAGGAGCAACGACTTCTTCCTCCTGCAGAGGAGGAGAGGACACGGAGAGCACACCGGGAGGATCACAGGTACACTGCTACACCACAGGTACACTGCTACACCACAGGTACACAGCTACACCACAGGTACACTGCTACACCACAGGCACACTGCTACACCACAGGCACACTGCTACACCACAGGTACACAGCTACACCACAGGTACACTGCTACACCACAGGTACACAGCTACACCACAGGTACACAGCTACACCACAGGTACACTGCTACACCACAGGCACACTGCTACACCACAGGTACACAGCTACACCACAGGTACACTGCTACACCACAGGTACACAGCTACACCACAGGTACACAGCTACACCACAGGTACACTGCTACACCACAGGTACACAGCTACACCACAGGTACACAGCTACACCACAGGTACACTGCTACACCACAGGTACACAGCTACACCACAGGTACACAGCTACACCACAGGTACACTGCTACACCACAGGTACACAGCTACACCACAGGTACACAGCTACACCACAGGTACACTGCTACACCACAGGTACACAGCTACACCACAGGTACACAGCTACACCACAGGTACACTGCTACACCACAGGTACACAGCTACACCACAGGTACACAGCTACACCACAGGTACACTGCTACACCACAGGTACACAGCTACACCACAGGTACACAGCTACACCACAGGTACACTGCTACACCACAGGTACACAGCTACACCACAGGTACACAGCTACACCACAGGTACACTGCTACACCACAGGTACACAGCTACACCACAGGTACACAGCTACACCACAGGTACACTGCTACACCACAGGTACACAGCTACACCACAGGTACACAGCTACACCACAGGTACACTGCTACACCACAGGTACACAGCTACACCACAGGTACACAGCTACACCACAGGTACACTGCTACACCACAGGTACACAGCTACACCACAGGTACACTGCTACACCACAGGTACACTGCTACACCACAGGTACACAGCTACACCACAGGTACACTGCTACACCACAGGTACACTGCTACACCACAGGTACACTGCTACACCACAGGTACACTGCTACACCACAGGTACACTGCTACACCACAGGTACACTGCTACACCACAGGTACACTACTACACCACAGGTACACAGCTACACCACAGGTACACTGCTACACCACAGGTACACAACTACACCACAGGTACACAGCTACACCACAGGTACACTGCTACACCACAGGTACACTGCTACACCACAGGTACACAACTACACCACAGGTACACAACTACACCACAGGTACACAGCTACACCACAGGTACACTGCTACACCACAGGTACACAACTACACCACAGGTACACAACTACACCACAGGCACACTGCTACACCTCAGGCACACTGCTACACCACAGGTACACTGCTACACCACAGGCACACTGCTACACCACAGGTACACTGCTACACCACAGGCACACTGCTACACCACAGGTACACTGCTACACCAGCTCCTTTATGGCAACTTGACCTTTACCCCTGACCCCAATGACACCAACAAGGATTTATTTAATCTGAGATAAATTTATCAGAGTTTAACAAAGTTTAGATTTTAAATGATTAAATCCATATTTCAACTGAAGCAGAACTCTGCTGCACAGTTAAAACTAATCTTTTTAGTAAATCAAAGTTCAACTCAGTGCAGTTCAATAGAACTTTATTAATGTCAAATGAAATTCTTGTGCCAGAGAACGCTTCAAATGACAGTAACGACAACTAACATTCTCAAACCAGTGAGAACCAGTGGGTTCCCCAGGTCAGGGTCACACACTGGGCCCAGGTTTTAAAACAATAGAGTTTATTAAATATCAGTATCTTAATAGTCAAAATGTAAAAGATATAAAGTGTTTAAGGAACAAAAGCACAAAGCAGAGCCTGACAGAGGAACAGCAGATGAATTGAAATGGTGGAAATACTGATTTAAAAAGGTAAAAACACTGAATAAGACGTTTCACATTAAAATATCTGTTTTCTTCTGACACTGTTCATTGCTGAGGGGCTTCTGACTGCAGCCACCACCAGCCCATAGAGTCAGTGTTTGGTTTGTCCGCTCTGGGCTACTGTGCCATTAGATTATATAATAATGTCTGTCCATACGTCCTTCTATATCCTTTAAAGTTAAACTATGATTAATGAGATTTAAAAATGAACGTCGTTGGTGCAGCTGCTCTGAAACACCATCTTTCAGGGTCCAACTTTATGGGCCTCAACTGTGGTTAAAACTCCGTGACGAGAAACACACACATGTCTATTAAAGTCTGCAGCACTTTGTGTCATGTCACCATTTTCTCACTTCCTGTACAGTTGTTTCACACACGCTCTCAGAACCAACATAAGAAGTAGCATCAGGCATTTATGGAGCCAACACACAACTAAACCAAATGTTTTATACCGAGTCACCGCTGCGTTTCCACCGGGGACTCTGTCATGAAAACTGGGTAGTTGTTTTACCTCGCTGACATCGCTGCGCTTCTGGCCAGGACGGGACACAAAAAGCAGTTGGTTTTTATGGAAGTGTTTCCTGCTGGGTTGTGCAAAGATGAGGGATTTTTTTTTAAAGATATTTTTTGGGGCATTTTTAGCCTTTATTGGTTAGGACAGACAAGTGTGAAAGGGGGAGAGAGAGAGCGAGTGACATGCAGCAAAGGGCCACAGGCTTGAGTCAAACCCGGGTTGCTGCGGCAACAGCCTTGTACATGGGGCGTCTGCTCTACCACTAAGCCACCGACGCCCCAAGATAAGGGATTTTAAGCCAAAACATGAAGTGATGTTTGTGCCTAAACCTGACCACATGTTAGCCACAATGCTGTTGAAACATAACTTTAAAGTTTCATCACATTGACTGCATAATAACATGCACATGTAGGGATCCATGAATAGCAGAGACGTTAAATATGAAGCATTAGTTTAGCAGTTTGTTTTTGTTCTGCTGTCATGATGTGAGAGTTTGACCCGGTCGTGTATGAAGTGATCATTCGACACATTTGTGACCATGTGCTGGCTGCAGCTGTAGTCGTCTGACCGCTTCCCACCACTGAGATACAGCTTTCTCTATGACGGCCTGTTTGCTGTTTCCTTTGTCTCACTTCCTGTCTGAGTTTGAATCTGTACGACACAGTGACAGTGGGTTTATGATGAGGGACACTTAATATCATTAATATATAGACACAGATTCTTCTTTCTGTTCCTTCTTCTTCTTCCCTGTGAGGAAACCAGCTGGGCCTCGTCTCATAAAACAGAATAGTAGGAACTTCCTGGTGTGTGTGTGTGTGTGTGTGTGTGTGTGTGTGTGTGTTTTCCCAGTGTTTCCATAGTAGGAGGGATGAAGGGTCAGGTCCTGTTGTCACCTCGTTCAACATTAACTCATGAAACCAGCTTCTCTGTGGCTTGGTGCCACACAGGCGGAGGAAACGACATGCAGCACAGCTGTCTGATTTATTTAGTAGCTCTGATCTGACGTCTTTATTTAAAATGTTTCTAACTGTGGATATTAGAGCAGAAACTGAAACTGGTCTCACAGCTGTGAAAACACAGCAGCAATGATGATGATGATGGTGATGATGATGATGATGACATAATGTGAGCAGGATTTCTAAGAAGGGCTGGGCAGCTCAACATCTGCAGCTCATCAGTTCCTTCATACCAGTCTGTTTGTTTATCTCTAACACTCATGTCTTCTTGTTTTTAACGCTCCTGTTTTTACCTTCATTTAACACACTGACACAAAGAAAAAGACTTGTGATGCGTTTAAGAGCAAACAGACATCTCAGTCCTGCAGATCTTTTTTATTTGTTCTCCTGGAAGCCTCATAAATGTCGACTCTTTGTCTCTCCGTCAGTGTGACCCTGACGGAGGGCTGCCATGATTCTTATTGACTCCTCTTTCTGGAAGGTTTACCAGTGAAAACCCCTTCTGGGCTTTGTGGTGACAGACGGATGGTTTAGTGTTGCTGGGCTGCCGGCGTCGCAGCTTCAGGCAGGTTGACTTTGACTCGCAGATACAGTTTACACTTGGCTGAGAGCCAGAGCTGCTGGGAGAGACTTTATCTGTTCACATCTCCACCTGCTCACAGCTCCATGAACAAAGGCCATAATCCTCCTGGAGTCAAGTTCCCCACAGAGCATATACTGTATGATGCACATATTCAGTGTTAACTCGCCCTCAGTTTAATAATCATAAGCATCATATGCAAATGAAGGAAGGATTCATTGGCACAGATGGAAAATAATGTTTGTGTTTTTATTAGTTTAGAATCACCTGAAACTAAGAAGTGTTGTCTTCCTTATCTGGTAATAAACTGTTTTTATCTACTTATGGAGCAGCCATAAGAGTCGGCCATGTTGTTTCTAGATGGAGCTGTTCCACCCGTCCAGGAAGTGCGCTGGACTTTAAAGCCAGTATCCGTAGTGGCCAAACGGGGGAATTTCAGCTCTTGAGTCAGTCACGTGATGTCATCGGGCCCAAAAAGACTTTATCCTGTTAATCAGGGGATACATGTTTTTGAGCAACACAACATCTACAAAATGATTCCTCTCCCTATCAGGATTTAATCTATTTGGTCCGAGAACATTTGTGAAATCTAGAAAAGCCAAAAGATTAAATCATTTCATCTCATTCAAGTTAGCAGGGCACTAAACAGGAAGTAGTTTGCTCAGCTGACAGATGTCTCTAGTGCTCCTGCTCTGTGGTCCCAGTGATCATCCAGATAACTTCATACTGCAGTCGTGGAGCTTTTTTGGCTTCATGCCCCGCTGAGAAACTTTAATAGGAATGAACAGAGTTCCACCTGTACCCAGGTGTCTTCATACGTCCATGGGCTGTTTGCATTCTGCCTTTTCATGCCAGTTGCCACAGTTCAGGGGGGGGGGGCAGATTCAGTTCATTTTGCTGTCAATAGCACATCAACCATTAGCCACAAATTTAGTCATTAATTCGTTAAACAAAAATATAAATAAAGGTTATAAAGAGGCCTTTGATTTTACTCCGGTGTTGTGTTGACTCATTTCAGAGCTCTGTCCATTCACAGGTGGAGACATTTTAATGTCTTATCTTTTTATCTTTTGGCTTCGCTGACCAGCAGCCAGCTGCATTAACATACAGAAACATAGCTCAGTGCCTGCTGCCCACTCTCCACCCTGCAGTCTCCGCTGGTCAGCCAGCATTAGCTGCTCTGTGCTGTGAGCATCACCCAGGTTAGGGTCAGGGTCAGGGGTTAGGGTCAGGGGTTAGGGTCAGGGGTCATGGTCAGGGTCAGGGGTTAGGGTCAGGGGTTAGGGTCAGGGGTCATGGTCAGGGTCAGGGGTTAGGGTCAGGGGTTAGGGTCAGGGGTCAGGGGTCAGGTAGGAGCGCTCGCTTGGCGATTAACGCTGGTAAAGCTGTCCCAGTGGCAGGACGCTGTCACTGTAGAAACATGCTGACCACTGTCTGGTCTCCCCTCAGGAGACCCTTGTTTATTGTGTTTTACAGGATTAAACAACATCTGTATCACAGTCAAATACAGTCACTTTTTACAGTGTGCTGTCAGGGAACAAATACATGTGTGTTTATATGAAAGTGGGTACCATTACCACGAGATCCAAAACAACAGCACACATACATGATGAGGACGTTCAGTGGTACATTAAGGTTCTGCATGTACCCACACAAACAAGAGGAGGAAATGAAATAAGATAAATAACCGCGTAGCCACACCTTCCCTCTGCAGTCAGACCTTTAAACCCTGAGTCCCACAGGATCATAAAACCTTCAGTGAATCTCACTGTGATGAAACTCTTTCAGCTCTTTTTGTTCTGTGTCAGTTTCACTGGAGGTTTTATCGTCTGAGTTAAATCAGAACATGCAGCAGAACTGATACTGATCCCTCTTCCTCTTCTCTCCATGCATCACCGGCTCTTTGTGCACCAGGTCTGAGAAGGTATAGCTGACACTCAGATACAGATCTCACTGCCCTCATCCTCCTCACTCAGCACCCTGACGTGCAGGGTTGGACTCTGTGGGAGCAGGTTGGGTTTATCTGACAGTGTGTCCCTCTGACGTGTGAGTTATTTGGTGCTGACTGCAGGGACTTGTAAAATAAGGACTTCCTTTGTGCCTCCCCAAATGCAGCCAATAGCAGTCGTCCAGAGGAGATGTGTCATGGCTATATCACAGCTTCATGCACACCTTAACATGTTTTAAATTACCCATAATTCATCTGCTCTGATGTTTTCATGCTTCAGTATCCTGACTGTGTGGATACAGCTACGTGGTGAAATCCTGACTCATTTAAAGTGTGTAAAGTTTGTTCCTTCCTCCCTGTGGAGCCTGACGGTATCTGTGGCTCTGTGTTTGTGTTTCTGACAAAAGCAGGAAAATTCCCATGATGCAGTTCTGTTTACACGACCAACATCCAGCACATTTTATGATCTGTTAAACCAACACAGATGTCCTCTTCTAGATTTAATGTAATGCCTGACTTACATGAACATGTACATTTCCCACTGATACTGATGATGGCACTGACATTATGATGGTGAAAACTGTCAGTAAGATTTGATCAAGAAACTGTGTAACCGTCTTCAGTGTGTGCAGATCATCAGAGGAAAATAAGGTGGATAAAAAAACATGAAAACAAAGTGATGAAGAAGTATGAAGAACAACAGTCTGGGTCAGCGCCTGCAGGAGCTCTGTGTCTGAGACATGTCTGCATGAACGTAACCTCAGTGTGACTCTGGTCTCTGCAGGTCTGCTGGTCGGGGCGCTGGACACCGTGCTGGACTCCAATGCCAGGGTCACACCATTCCGCATCCTCCTCCAGGTTCCCGGCTCCCAGATCAGCTGGGTCATCGCCAGCGGTGAGATGAACCACAGAGTCTCCTCCCTCCTGCTGTCTGTCTTCACTCTCAGCTCTTCATCAGTTATACTCTTCATCTCTGATACTCTGCAGAGTGTGCGCAGTCTGAGTTTGCCTGAGAAGATTTCTGTGACGTGTTCCAGCTGTTAAACTCCCTCCTGTGTTTCATCTTTTTGTCCCTCAGGAGCTGCCATAGAGGAGGTGAACAAGCACTGGGACTGGCTGGTCCACAACCTGCTCCACTCTCTGACCGTGTTTGAGAACAAGGAGGATGTCGCCAGCTTCGTCACAGGAAAAGTCAAGGTGTGACACCTGCTGGTGCATGAGTCCTGTTAGAAGATGATGATGATGATGATGATGATGATTGTAGAGTCTGAGCTGTGTTGACAGAACTCTCTCTGTGGAGTTAACGGGGATTTAAAGGATCAAAGTAAAACATCTGCCTCATTGTAGATTACATGATGATGATGATGATGTCCATGTAAAGAGCTCTGCAGTAACGAGCGTATGTTCCCTCCCCTGCAGGGCCTCATCGCAGAGGAGGTTCGGGGCCGCCAGGCCGCCCAGGAGGACGACCCGGAGAAGTTCAGGGAGGTGCTGCTGAAGTTCGAGCGGCACTTCGGCCTCCCTTCGTCAGAGAAACTGGTGACGTACTACTCGTGCTGCTGCTGGAAGGGTCGGGTGCCTCGGCAGGGCTTCCTCTACCTCAGCATCAACCATGTGGCCTTCTACTCCTTCCTGCTGGGGAAGGAAGGTCTGTACTCCAACGTGAGGGCTCTGATTTTAAACCAGGACACTGAACACAATGTCAGTCAGGGCGTCGGTCTCCACAATTTATTCATGCAGACTGTCAGTGTCAGTTTTTACAGAGTGATAGTCATGATAGAGGAGTGCTCGACTGAAAATCTGAAGACTGAAAGTCTTTTGAATAACAAACGTTCTTCATGTCTGTTTTAAAGACAGCTCTGCTCCTCTGTGAGGACGGCAGCTGTTACACTAGATTTTAATAATGACCCAGAAAAGCAATAAATAACAATAGAGGCTCCTCAGTCTCCTCTCACACCGATCAGACAGAGAACTTTCTGCAGCTTGCTGCGTCTTCTTCTTTTAACTTGTCCAGGGCGACCACTGCCTCACCTGTCGTCAGCTTCACCGCTGTTTTGCTGTGAAGTACAGGTGCAGATCTCTGCCTTAAACTCTGAGCAGACAGGTGGAGGAGACCTGGGGACTGGACACAGGGAGACAGATATCTGTGTGGGTATGAGACCCTCTCACGTGAAGTACCACCAGCAGGTCCAGGAGCTCCACCTGGATAATGGTCGTTTCAAGGATTATTTCAGGACGATTCAGGGACAGTTTGATGAGCTGCTGCAGATCATCAGGTTACAGGCGGTCAAATGTTAGAAAGCAGTCGAGGCTGAGTTTGTTCAGCTGCATCCTGCAACTTGGCCGGGGTGACATTGAATGTGAGCTAACATTAGCTTAACACAAACCATGTACACTACCAAGGCCCTCCACTCAACTCATCTGATTGGACAATGACGTCAGGCTCTTCTTTTATGTCTGAGGTTGGAGGTGTTCAGGGCGCTCCTGCAGAAACACAAGGCGTTCAGAAACACAAAGCGTTCAGAAACACAAGGCGTTCAGAAACACAAGGCGTTCAGAAACACAAAGCGTTCAGAAACACAAGGCGTTCAGAAACACAAAGCGTTCAGAAACACAAAGCGTTCAGTAACACAAAGCATTCAGAAACACAAAGCGTTCAGAAACACAAGGCGTTCAGTAACACAAAGCGTTCAGAAACACAAGGCGTTCAGTAACACAAAGCGTTCAGAAACACAAAGCGTGCAGTAACACAAAGCGTTCAGAAACACAAGGCATGCAGTAACACAAAGCGTTCAGAAACACAAAGCGTTCAGAAACACAAAGCGTTCAGAAACACAAGGCGTTCAGTAACACAAAGCGTTCAGAAACACAAAGCGTTCAGTAACACAAAGCGTTCAGAAACACAAAGCGTTCAGAAACACAAAGCGTTCAGTAACACAAAGCGTTCAGAAACACAAAGCGTTCAGAAACACAAAGCGTTCAGAAACACAAAGCGTTCAGAAACACAAAGCGTTCAGAAACACAAAGCGTTCAGAAACACAAAGCGTTCAGAAACACAAAGCGTTCAGAAACACAAAGCGTTCAGAAACACAAAGCGTTCAGAAACACAAAGCGTTCAGAAACACAAAGCGTTCAGAAACACAAAGCGTTCAGAAACACAAAGCGTTCAGAAACACAAAGCGTTCAGAAACACAAAGCGTTCAGAAACACAAAGCGTTCAGAAACACAAAGCGTTCAGAAACACAAAGCGTTCAGAAACACAAAGCGTTCAGAAACACAAAGCGTTCAGAAACACAAAGCGTTCAGAAACACAAAGCGTTCAGAAACACAAAGCGTTCAGAAACACAAAGCGTTCAGAAACACAAAGCGTTCAGAAACACAAAGCGTTCAGAAACACAAAGCGTTCAGAAACACAAAGCGTTCAGAAACACAAAGCGTTCAGAAACACAAAGCGTTCAGAAACACAAAGCGTTCAGAAACACAAAGCGTTCAGAAACACAAAGCGTTCAGAAACACAAAGCGTTCAGAAACACAAAGCGTTCAGAAACACAAAGCGTTCAGAAACACAAAGCGTTCAGAAACACAAAGCGTTCAGAAACACAAAGCGTTCAGAAACACAAAGCGTTCAGAAACACAAAGCGTTCAGAAACACAAAGCGTTCAGAAACACAAAGCGTTCAGAAACACAAAGCGTTCAGAAACACAAAGCGTTCAGAAACACAAAGCGTTCAGAAACACAAAGCGTTCAGAAACACAAAGCGTTCAGAAACACAAAGCGTTCAGAAACACAAAGCGTTCAGAAACACAAAGCGTTCAGAAACACAAAGCGTTCAGAAACACAAAGCGTTCAGAAACACAAAGCGTTCAGAAACACAAAGCGTTCAGAAACACAAAGCGTTCAGAAACACAAAGCGTTCAGAAACACAAAGCGTTCAGAAACACAAAGCGTTCAGAAACACAAAGCGTTCAGAAACACAAAGCGTTCAGAAACACAAAGCGTTCAGAAACACAAAGCGTTCAGAAACACAAAGCGTTCAGAAACACAAAGCGTTCAGAAACACAAAGCGTTCAGAAACACAAAGCGTTCAGAAACACAAAGCGTTCAGAAACACAAAGCGTTCAGTAACACAAAGCGTTCAGAAACACAAGGCGTTCAGTAACACAAAGCGTTCAGTAACACAAAGCGTTCAGTAACACAAAGCGTTCAGAAACACAAAGCGTTCAGAAACACAAAGCGTTCAGTAACACAAAGCGTTCAGAAACACAAAGCGTTCAGTAACACAAAGCGTTCAGAAACACAAGGCGTTCAGAAACACAAGGCGTTCAGGGTCTGAGCCACCTCTTTACTCCTCTAAACAATCCTCGCTTCACCTGAGAAACACTTGTGTCCAGTGTTTAATAAGTGTTTAATAATTGACATGAGCTGGAGTTTAAGAGAACACGTTGATTCAAAAGTTATTTGTTAGTTAAAAGTTATTTTGTAGACAAACAATGACATCATAGCCTCTAACTACTGATTTTTAACCGACTCTGTGTCACTGAGGTGTGTGAACGGTGTCAGACACTGTTTCTCTTTAATCCGTCCTTGTTTCTCATGCTGCAGCTCAGTATGCACAAATAACTTCTTCATAATTGGTTAAAAAATCTTTGTCAGATATGTTACCCACTCACGTCCCTTCACTCCATCGGCTCCTTTACTTCAGGAAACTCTGACAGCATATGATGTTGTTCCCAGATATACTGTGTGTACCTTTAATGTATGAAATACAGTTCATTGAGGGAAATCTTCTGGATCGTTTCACATCTTACAAGCAGAGGTCAGGTCGTAGTTATTGCTGTGTCACTTCTTACAGCAGCATCTTTAATTCACAGTTTGACAGTTTTTTTCAGGAGAGTTCAGTTTGTTTGACCAACACAACTAAAGACTATGAAGTGGTTCACAGGTGTAGCAGTCTCAGTGACCTGCAGTCAGTCTGAAGAAACTCAGCTGTCCTCCTCTTCTTCTTCCTCAGTCAAGTTTGTGATTCCCTGGGCGGAGGTGACACGTTTGGAGCGGGTCTCCACTGGACTGATGACGGAGGCGGTCCGGATCACCACACGGCAGCGGCAGAGGGAATTCTCCATGTTCCTGAACCTGGACGAGGCGTTCGGGGTCATAGGTCAGCTGGCTGACATCGCCCTCAGGCGGCTGTTGGACAGCGAAGGCCTGGAGCTGGACCGAGTCCTGCAGCAGCCCACACGCATCACCAAGAGGTCAGTGCTGCTTCCTGTTACCGATATGTTTCACCCTCCCACAGCCCCCCCACACGTCCCTGTGTGTGTAACAAGCAGAGGTTTGAACCTGTCTATCATCTTACCATCTGAACGATGAGCCCTTTGAACCCTCCGACAGACTGTGAGGTCTGATCAGTGCAGCTACACTGTGTCACGTGGATCTGATAAACATCCAGTGTGATGTCTGCAGACTGTACGATGACAGCGTCACTGAATCACAGGCTATGATGCAACAGCTTCACATACTGAGTGACAGCATGCTGCAGGGTTATTACTTCTTCAGCTGTGAAGCACAGCATAGCAACAACCATCCTTGAACCTCTCTGACTGTGTGACGTAGGACCACCGTTTTAGAGCCACCACCAAAGATATCAACAGGTTTCTTTACCGCTGGTCGTCACTCAGCTGGGACAGACCAACATCACGCAGTGTGTGCACACAGCAGGAAGATACAACAGCATTCTGACTTTAGACCAGGTTTATTTTTAATGTCAAACTGGATTTCGGTTGCCTCAAAATAAATACCAACACACCAACAATGTGCCTGATCACACCTTGTTAGGACCTACACACCCATGGGTGCACAGATGGGTGCAAGTATATTTGCTACATACACAACATGGGTGCTGGCTGTGAAAATAGCTGCGTCTGCGTGATGACAGTTGGTGCTGTGCTGTGCGTCACTCTGCAGCGGGTGTCAGATCGAGCCCAGTGAGAAAGAGAAGTTGACAGCCTGGCTCTTTTCTCACCTCAGCACAGCTGGCTGATCTCTGTGTGGAGTGAGCGTTAATGTTCAGTCGTTGGTTTCTGAAAGTTACAGAAATAGACGGACAAAGCTGATGTCAGAGAGGTGTGTGTGTGTGTGTGTGTGTGTGTGTGTGNGGGGGGGGGGGGGGGGGGGGGGGGGGGGGGGGGGGGGGGGGGGGGGGGGGGGGGGGGGGGGGGGGGGGGGGGGGGGGTACTGACAGCTTCCATAACCCAAGATAACATGATGTTGTGTGTTGAATTATAACCTGAGATTTGAGAGCGTCTCCCCCAGAGAGAGACGCAGAGATGTAAAACACAGCTGAGAGTTTTCTGTGAACCCTGAACACAAGGCTGAGACGAGACACTGACGGACTATGTCTTGTTCTCTTATTATATTTCTGCTCCCTCAGTTTTCTGTCATTTTAAACCTGATCTGCCTCGACAAACGTTATGCAGCACTGCTCCTCACAGCACTGTGAGACTTATTTCTGTCTCTGTACAAACCTCAAAACCAGAACAGAAGTAAAGTGCCCGAGCTACAGAGCAAATGTAGGAGTGGGTGGTGACCACATCACAGACAGTTTTTTTTTTTTTTTTTTTTTTTTTTTTTTTTTTTAGTAATGTATTTACATCAGGAGGCAGAAAGTGAAATGAGGAAGAAGAAATGGAACATGTGAGGGACAGAAACCTCGGACAGTCCAGGACGAGAGGAGAAGACACAAAGCAGGAAGTGGGTGCGCAGCTGAAAGGAATTGCTGAATGTGAAATCAAAAGAAAATAAAGACTTCACAGCTCATTTAATCCTGAGCTCAGATTCTCCTCCCTGACTGTCGTAGTTCACCTCATTATAATTTCACCTCATTCAGGTCCTGGTGATTTATAGTTTATTTATTTATTGAGTCTGTAGGATGATGAATGAATAACAACATTTTATTACAAAAATATTCAACTAAGAGGATGAAACAAGTCAATCACCAGAAGAAATGTTGACACTGTATGTTTCTCTTCATCTCTTGTTTTTTTTTACTGAACTTCAATTTTCAGCAACACTGTGTCTTAAAGGGATAGTGCACACAAAAATGAAAACTCAGCCATTATCTACTCACCCATATGCCGAGGGAGGCTCAGGTGAAGTTTTAGAGTCCTCACATCACTTGCAGAGATCCAAGGGGAGAGGAGGTAGCAACACAACTCCACCTAATGGAGGCTGACGGCGCCCCAGATTCAAACGTCCAAAAACACATCATTGAAACCACAAAATATCTCCATACTGCTCGTCCGTAGTGATCCAAGTGTCCTGAAGCCCCGACATAAAAAGTTGTTTGGAAAAACCTCATTT